GGGCATGGTTGCATCCTCTTAGCTCACTGTGGCCTCAAACTCCTGGGCTCAAGTGATCCTTCTGTCTCAGCCTCCTTAGTGCCTGGGACTAAAGGTGTATGCCATGACATCTGGCTAAGTTTTCTAGTTTTTGTAGAGATGGGGGTCTTGCTTTTGCTCAGGCTAGTATCGAATTCTGGACCTCAAATAATCCTGCCTTGGCCTGCCAAACTGCTCAGATAACAGGTCTGAGCCACTGCTCTTGGCTTTTTTCTCCCTTATTTGATCATACTGAGTTACGTAAACTACAAACAAGTATCCATATGGCTCAAGATAGAGCAGTTGACCTGGGTTGAACTAGTAAGTAATTTTCAGAGACCTGACTTCTTCTTATCTGTCTCAAATATTGGAGGGTTACCCAATCCTTTCCATTCCAGATGCAGTGCCTTGTACCACAATTGCCTGTTTTCCTATTTTTATCATGTTTTTTCACAGTTTTGTTTGGGTGATTCATTAATCTGCTGAAGGACTTTTAGGGAGTAAATAACTAACAATGGCTTTCCTAATATCCCTTTAAGAGGGATATTTCTCCCCACTTTTAAACAAACTGTAGATTTTGTGATCCTTCCCTTTGTATGACTAATATAGGGTGGGTTTTGCTCTGTATTACGTGAGGCCATTTTACCAGGGAGCAAAAACTTGTTAGTGATGAGGACTAGATTCTCCTGCTGCACAGGCTCTTCTGGAAGAGCTCCATTGTACTGAGAGTGAAAATATTTGGAAGTAACAGTGACATAACCACAGTGTCTGTGTCTTACATCAGCATGTCAGGAAAATTTCTGACATAATGACTTAATTTTCAAAAGTGAGAACAATACGCATGAGTGTACTCATGATCTATGTATATTTGACTTAATAAAATAAAATTTAAAAAAAAGTCAGAACAGATGCATTTGAAATACTCGAAAATAGGAGCTTGGTGGTAGAAAGTGACTTCACATTTGTGTATAGCATATTAGTGTGTGCAAAGAAAATACTGCATAGTTTTCTTAATTTCCTAGAGTCACTCTTTTGTTTCCTCTGTATGATAGTTTTTTCTGTTGAGATTTTTTTCTAGTGTAGAAATAAGAGGTCCAGAAGTGTTGCATTAGGACCATTAAGGGAAAGCTATAGACTTAAAATTCATAAGTAAGAAATGTGACTTTATTATAATTCTTTTTTAGAAATGTGACTTTATCATCCCTGTAAAAGTAGAACTGTTCTGAAATCTGATTGGGCTTAGTGAAACAAACCTATGATACTTTTAAGTGGATAAGTGTCAGTTATTTTCTGGAATGTGGTTTTTCGTTTTTTTCTAAATATACACATCAAGCATTTAGAAATGTTCATTTTCAAAAAGGAGAAAAACAGCTCACTCTGTTGACACTTTTTACAGCTGGAGAGGCAGCTGCACGAAGATGAAGAGTTCGCCAGAACCTTGGCCATGTTAGACGAAGAGCCCAGGACTAAAAAGGTGGCGTTGTGCCGCCTGTCGGCAGCTGAGTGTGCCCCTCAGACCAGGGTCCTTTCCATTATTCTGTATTCTCCTGTGAGCCAACTGTGAATAACTCCTCCAGAAAAATGCTAAATTATTTTAATAAAAAAAAAGTTTTGGGGAAAGCTCATTGAGAAACTCTGTGAAAGAAAGTTGACAAAGCCAAAGCAAATCAGAACCTTTCTTCACAAAACTCTGAATTATACCTTTTCCTTACTCTTTATCACAGGGGTTCTTTTGTACTGGTTCAGAGACTATTGCTTTGGGCTCAGCGCCTGTGGCTCAAGCGGCTAAGGCACCAGCCACATACACCTGAGCTGGCGGGTTTGAATCCAGCCCTGGTCCACCAAACAATAGTGATGACTGCAAACAAACAAACAAAAAATAGCTGCGTGTTGTGGCAGGCTCCTGTAGTCCCTCCCTACTTGGGAGGCTAAGACAAGAGAATTACTTAAGCCCACGAGTTGGAGGTTGCTGTGAGCTGTAATGCCACAGCACTCTACCCAGGGCGACAGCTTGAGGGCCTTTTTCAAAAAAAAAAAAAAAATTCCTTTGGGACAAAAGTTTAATAATATTAATTACTGAGTTTTTAGGAAGCATGATTTTGCTAATTTTTTTTTTTGAGACAGAGCCTCAAGCTGTCCCCCTAGGTAGAGTGCTATGGCTTTACTGCTCATAGCAACCTCCAACTCCTGGGCTCAAGCG